AGATAGAGACAGAGACCCACATTGGAGCACTGGACTGAGCTCCCAAGGTCCAAATGAGGAGCAGAAGGAGGGAGAATATGAGCAAGGAAGTCAGGACCGCGAGGGGAGCACCCACCCACTGAGACAGTGGGACTGAGCTCACCAAGGCCAGCTGGACTGGAATTGAAGAGGCATGGGATAAAACTGGACTCTCTGAACATGGTGGACAGTGAGGGCTGCTGAGAAGCCAAGGACAATGGCACGGGGTTTTGACCCTACTGCATGAAATGGTTTTGTGGGAACCTAGCCCGTTTGGATGCTCACCTTCCTAGATCTGGATAGAGGGGGGAGGACCTTGGACTTCCCACAGGGCAGAGAACCCTGACTGCTCTTTGGACTGGAGGGGGGGGTAGTGAGCAGGGGGAGGGGGAGGGAAAAGGGAGGTGGGGAGAAGGTGGAAATTTCTAATAATAATAAAAAAAAAGAATCCACAAGGATGACCCTAGCTAAGACTCCTAGCAATGAGTCCTGGAGACTCCTGGAGAATGAGCCAGAACTGGCCTTTCCCTGCCAGAACCTGATGCAGAGATCGACAACCAGGAACCAGGCTGCCAACTCTCATCATAGAGCTTTCATGCAGCAATTGATGGAACCAGATGCAGAGATTCACAACCAAGCACCAGGTTGAGCTCCTGGAATCCAATAGAAGAGAGGGAAGTGTGAAAATATGAGCAAGTGAGGCCTCTACATCTTACTACAGAGACACTTGCTCCATGTTAATCGCTATTCTAATCATAATAGGCAGAAACTGAAAACAGTCTAAATATCCATCTATAGATGCATGGCTAAAAGGAATATAACTATATAATGGTAAATATTTGGATACTAAAAAATGATATCATAGAATTTAAAAGTAAATGGATGGACCTAGATATTTAAAAAATTCTAAATGGGGTAACACAGACCCCCAAAATAACAAATATGATATGCATATTTTATATGTGAGTGTTAGCTGTTAAGTTTTCAGGAAGCAGGATACAATTTATATCAACTTAGAAACTACATTTCGTACACTAGCTCTTTATGTAAAAACAATCCCACCCAAGACTCACATTAATACAGACCTGGGCAGCTGGAATTCTACCTACCCTGACTAATACGATAACACTGTTTCCTGAATAGAACTGAGAAATCCAGTTAAAAGTGAGATTTATATTAAAAATCTATGCTCATAATAGAACATGAAAACAGCTAACATTTAATTGAAAGTCACTCCACATGTCAATAAGCAGAGATAACTGGAAGGGACTGGGAAATAAAATCATCAGATACTAGTATCAAGAAGACCATAATATACAAAAAGGAATTGTTGAGCCGAACAGCTGGGGTTTATTGTAGGATTCAAGACTTTAAACAGCTAAGTATGGATCAATGCAATGCAATCTCTTAACACGCTAAAGAACAAAACAAAAATCACTGGAAAATATGAAGCAAAGAAAAATCATTTGGCAAAAATGAACGGTAAAATGTTATGAGAAAAGTGGGAAACACAAGGGCATCTTCGCTTTTACAGAGAGCAATTAAATACAGACGATGGCTAGCAGTATTCCTTCGGATGAAGACCTGTATGCCTCTTGCTTGTCCTCTAGGACCAGGGACTAAATGAGGATGTCAGTCTCCATCACTCTTATTTAATATAGTCCTGAAAACTCGAGTTAGCACCACAACAAAAGACAAAGGGATTAACAGGCACATACACCAGAAGGTGGGAAAATAAAAACAGCTTTCTTTATTAGCAGGTGACAGGATTACAGGTTCCTAAAACTCCCAAGGAATCTACCGATAAAATTAACAAACAACTGAGTTCAGAAAGATCAAGAAAAACAAGATGTATAAAAAAATTATAAAAATGTTTTTACAACCTACTGATGAACACAGAAACAGCAGCAGTAAAATGCTATTCCACTGTAGCCACTAAACTGAGTCAGGTAAGAGGTCAACAAAAACATTCTAAAAACACCACAGAGATGATGAAAGCTAAGATATCGGTTATTTCCTGGTTACTTGAGAGTACCCTGTGTTTGAGCCAGCCTCTCTCTCTCTCTATCTATCTATCTATCTATCTATCTATCTATATAAAGATTCAACATTGATAAACAGTTTTATCAAGTAAACTAAAGTATTTCTAGACCCGGAGCTAATTTCTTGGTTCATAGTGAGTGTGGCTCTTGAGAAAATCCTTGTTTGGTTCCTGTAGGCCCATATTTCTGTATGACACAGAGCCATAAGTCTGGTCTGAGGTGGTCACGAACTCTGCAGACAAGCTGTCTCTGTTTAACAATAGCCAGGATATACTGCTCCTAATTTCTTTTGTTATAAATGTAGATTACCTGAGAAGAGATGTTGGCTGAAGCTGATGACTTAAGAGTTAAGAGGTTCAGTGCTTCCTCCCTTTGAAATTTGGAGGATGTCTCACAGAGATGCTAATTCATGGCCTAAGTGACTACTAGCATACAGGTAGATGCAGATGTGACTTGAGCCCATTCACCTGGTTGCCTAGGAGACAGTCTAATGTATTTTCCCACTCAATTGATGTGATGATATATAAGGTGTTTGAATAATAAGTGGGAGAGCTTCAGAGAGAGATCTTGCCCTTCCATGATGACTGTGTAAGCTGCGTTGGTTTATTCCTTGTTACTCTGTTCCAGTTCAGTTAGGGAATCTGTGTTGGACCCACATGGCCTCCAACAGGTTCCCAGAACCCAACTCAGATGGTTTCCAAGCACCTGTAACTTCAGCTTCATGGGATTAAAACTGTGTTTTGACCTCAAAGAGTACCCACAGTCAAGGGCACATTATCCTCCAGCACACACATGGACATAATCATCCAAGTAAAATAATTCTTTAGAAATTATATTTTTAAAGTTATATTAAAAGTCAAAGCTACTAGAAGGGTTAAAATCTGGGAAAAGAAGAAAGTGGTAGAAAGAAAATGTATTTGTCTGCAGAAGTCAAGCTAAGTGTTTTTGGCAGGTGTAATTAAACATAATAATAGGAACAGAACAGACAGGCTTAAGTAGGCCCACACAGGTGCAACCAACAGAATTTAATGAAGTCCAACACAACTCCTTTCAGAATATCTTAATACAAGGTAGCAGTTTGTATTTAGAAGAAATTTTCTTTGACTTAAAAATTCTAATTTATGAAACATTTAACTCAAAATAGATCAGAGTCTTAAATATAGATCTGAAAATTATAAAGTAGTTTGAACAGAATATAAATAAATATTAAGGCTCCAGAGCAAGGCAAAGTCTGATAAGGTTTACGTCAAAAAACATGATTCATAAAAGAACAAATGAATGTTTGTGTTTCATAAAAAAGTAAAATTTTGGAGGTTTAAGTCTAATTATAAGACCTTTTTTATGTAGTAACTGTCATTGGCGTTTGAGGTAACATTGCATTGAATTTACAGAGAAAATGAGCATTTTGACAGTACTACTTTTATTAAAGTAACACATGAATTCTTCCATTTATTTGTGTTAACTTCTCTTATCTATACACTACTACATGTTTAAATTTAGAGATGTGAGCTCCCATTAGGTCAGCCCCACCGTCTCAGTGGGTGGGCTCACCCCTTGCAGACCTGACTTCCTTCCTTGCTCATGTCCTCCCTCCTTCTGCTCCTCATTTGGACTTTGGGATCTCAGTTCAGTGCTCCAATGTGGGTCTCTGTCTCTAGCTTCATCCATCGCCAGATGGATGTATGGCTATAGGATAGGGCCATTTCAGGCTCCCTCTCCTCAGCTGCCAAGTATCTAGCTGGGGACATCTCCATGGACACCTGGGTACACCTCTAGAGTCAAGTCTCTTGCCAACCCTATAATGGCTCCCTTAATTAAGATATATACTTCCTTGCTCCCATATCCACCCTTCCTCCATCCCAAGTGTCCCATTCCCCCAAGCTCTCCCCATCCCCCCTTCTCACTTTTTTCTCCCCATCTCCCCTTACCCCCACCCCACCTTCAACCCCCAAGTTTCCACTTTTTGCCTGGCAATCTTGTCTACTTCTGAAAGAACCTGCAGACCCCTCCTCAAAACCCGCAGCTAGCATGCTCCTGGGGGAATGTCCTGTTTGCTTAAGAACATCCCATGTGCTTGAGAGAGCAGGATGTCTTTGAGATAGGAAGACTGCAAGGCAGGATATCAATAAGGCAGGACAACAACAAAGCAGGTTGACTGCAAAACAGGATATCTATAAGATAGGAACAGGATGACTGTTGCCAGACATCCATGCTGAGAGAGGAAACCATTCATGCCCCCCGCCTCATTCTGATAACCACGCTTTTGCTTCTGTAAACTTGCTTTTTGCTCTTCCCTATAAAAAGCCCGACCTCCAGTTGGCAGGCACGCAGGTCTTCCAAGAGATCTTGCCGCTCGTAGGTACCTGTGTCTACTCAATAAACCTCTTGCGATTTGCATCCGTGCGGTCTCGGCCTGTTCCTTGGCGTTGGGGAGGTCTCCCCCCAAAAAAGGTCCTCATCGAGGGTCTTTCATTTGGTGCTTTGGCCGGGAAATTGAGACCCTCCCACCCAGGGACCACCGACTCACCATCAGGAGGTAAGCTGGCCAGCTCTGAGTCAGTTGTTTTCTGTGTTCTTTGTTCAGTTGTCTTCTGTGTTCTCTGTTGAGTGGTCTTCTGTGTTCTTTGTCGAATTCTGTACCCGGGATTTCTCCCCCGCAGTCCTGGAAGACGTTTCACGGACATAAGGACCCCGGGCCCTCGGAGGTCAGCCCGCAGGGGTTTCTGGAGCCTACCTGAGCCCCCGGAGTCAGTCCGCAAGGACTTCTGGAGCCCAATTCTTCGGAGCTCAGCCCGTATCAGAAGGATACATGGTTCTAGTTGGAGGAGAGGGATCCGGACCCTCAGAGCTTGTTCTGTCTTTGTCTTTGTGTGTCATATATATATATATATATATATATATATATATATATATATATATGGTTCTCTTCTCTTCGAGAAGATGGGACAAACCCTAACCACCCCTTTGAGCCTTACTTTAGACCACTGGCCTGGTGTCCGCGCCCGAGCCGACAACCTGTCAGTCGATGTTCGAAAGAAGAAATGGGTGTTCTTTTGTTTGTCCAAGTGGCCTACTATTGGGGCAGAATGGCCAAGAGACGGCACTTCCAATCTCAATATTATTTCCCAGGTTAAGGCAAAAGTGTTCAGCCGGGGACCACATGGACACCAGGATCAACACACCTACATCGTTACCTGGGAAAGTTTGGCACGTGACCCGCCCCTATGGGTCCAGCCCTTTGTCATCTCTAACAAAACCCAACCTCCTCTTACCCCTACAGCCCCTAAGGCTCCCCCTCCTCTGGAGAGCCAACCGCTTGTGCCTCTTCCTCCTGCACCTTCCCCTGCCCCACCCTCTTCTTCCCTATACCCCTCCATTCTTAAGGAGAAGATTCCCAAAGAAAAACCTCTGAAACATACCCCTGTGCCCCCTTCCGTCCTTCCTCCAAACCCTGACTCTCCCCTCACTGACCTTCTATTAGAAGAACCCCCTCCTTATGCAGATCCAGAGGATCCAGAGAGTCCGGATGGGCCAGAGACTGCAGCGGCGGGTGGACAGCCTGCACAAGTCTCCCCAGCCCCTTCACCCATGGCTGGAAGACTCTGGCGAAGGCGAGAGCCACCCCCTGATTCCACTTCTCATGCCCTACCCTTGAGAGAGGGCCCAAACGGCCAACAGCAATACTGGCCATTCTCTGCCTCAGATCTATACTATTGGAAACACCATAACCCCCCATTCTCCAAAGATCCAATAATGCTGACTAACCTGATTGAGTCTATTTTAGTCACCCACCAGCCCACTTGGGATGATTGCCAGCAACTCTTGCAAGCCCTGCTGACCTCAGAGGAAAAGCAAAGAGTCTTTTTGGAGGCTCAGAAAAACGTCCCAGCCGACAACGGTAGCCCAAACCTTTTGCCTAACGAAATTGACAAGGCCTTCCCTCTGATGCAACCTGACTGGGATTTTACTACGGCTGCAGGTAGGGGACATCTACACCTCTATCGCCAGTTGCTAATCGTGGGTCTTCGAGGGGCAGCGTGCTACCCCACCAATTTGGTCCAGGTTAAGCAAGTAATACAGGGAAATGAAGAGACACCCTCAGCCTTCTTAGAAAGGCTCAAGGATGCTTATAGGATGTATACCCCCTATGACCCTGAAGATACAGGGCAAGCTACAAGTGTATCCATGTCTTTCATTTGGCAGTCTAGTCCCGATATTAGAAGCAAATTGCAGAGGCTTGAGGGTCTCCAGGGATATACTATACAAGACTTACTAAAAGAGGCAGAGAAGATTTTCAATAAGAGAGAGACTCCAGAAGAAAAAGAGGAAAGATTATGGCAGAGAATGAAAGATCGGGAGGATGAAAGAGACAAGAGGAGAAACAAGGAATTAACTAGGGTGTTGGCCACCATGGTTCAGGAACAGAATAGAGAGGGAGACAGGAAGGGAGAACAATTTAGGGCCAAGGTGGACGGAGACCAATGCGCCTATTGTAAAGAACAAGAACACTGGATTAAGGATTGCCCCAGGAGGAACAAAGGTCCTAGGAAGCCCAGGCTCCAAACCTCCCTCCTCACCTTAGAGGATTAGGGAACTCAGGGCCAGGAGCCCCACCCTGAGCCCAGGATAACTCTTGATGTTGGAGGGCAACCAGTCACCTTCCTAGTAGACACCGGGGCCCAGCATTCAGTCCTGACCCAGACTTCAGGGCCACTCAGCAAACGATCTGCTTGGGTCCAAGGAGCCACTGGTGGCAAGAGATATCGATGGACAACTAATTCGAAGGTTCAGCTGGCTACTGGTAAGGTGACGCATTCCTTTCTGCATGTTCCGGACTGTCCCTATCCCTTGTTGGGTAGGGACCTCCTCACCAAGCTAAGGGCCCAAATTCATTTCAAGGACACAGGGGCTAAGATAATGGGCCCAGATGGAGGTCCCCTCCAAATTTTGACCCTCCAGCTGGAGGATGAATATAGACTTTATGAGCCCCCGGGGCAACAGACAATTGACATGGCCCCTTGGCTCAATGACTTTCCATTGGCATGGGCAGAGACCAGGGAATGGGGATGGCTTTACAACAACCTCCACTTATCATTCAATTGAAGACAACAGCTACTCCTGTTTCAATCAAGCAGTACCACATATCCCATGAAGCATATCAAGGCATAAGGCCCCACATAAAAAGACTGCTGGATCAGGGCATTCTCACTCCCTGCCGGTCACCATGGAATACCCCCCTTTTACCAGTAAAGAAACCGGGGACTGGGTACTACCGGCCAGTGCAGGATTTGAGGGAGGACAACAAAAGGGTGGAGGACATACACCACACGGTCCCCAACCCCTACAACCTATTGAGCACTCTGCCGACATCCCACGTTTGGTATACCGTATTAGATTTAAAGGATGCCTTCTTCTGCTTGCGGCTGCATCCGGAGAGCCAGTCCCTTTTTGCCTTTGAATGGAAGGACCCAGATCTTGGACTTTCGGGTCAATTGACCTGGACACGGCTCCCCCAGGGGTTCAAGAACAGCCCGGCCCTCTTTGATGAGGCCTTACACCGGGACCTGGCAGACTTTCGGGTTCAGTACCCTGCCCCGACATTGCTCCAATACGTTGATGACCTCCTTCTGGCGGCTGCTTCAGAGAAAGAATGTCAGGAGGGTACAAAGGCCCTCCTACAGACATTGGGACAAGCAGGATATCGGGCATCAGCCAGGAAGGCTCAGATATGCCAGAAGCAAGTCATTTACCTAGGTTATCAATTAAAAGATGGACAGAGATGGCTGACCGAGGTGCGCAAACAGACTATCACTAACATTCCTGCCCCCAAGAACCCCCACCAGCTGAGAGAGTTCCTGGGAACAGCGGGATACTGCCGCCTCTGGATCCCAGGGTTTGCAGAGATGGCTGCACCCTTGTATCCATTAACTAAACAAGGAACAATGTTTGATTGGGGAGAGGAACAACAGAGGGCTTTCGAAAACATTAAGAAAGCCTTTTTAGCCTCCCCTGCTTTAGGCCTCCCTGACATTACCAAGTCTTTCGATTTGTTCGTGAATGAAAAACAGGGTTACGCTAAAGGGGTCCTAACACAAAAACTGGGCCCCTGGAGGTATCCTGTAGCTTATCTCTCAAAGAAACTCGAACCAGTAGCTTCAGGGTGGCTGCCCTGTCTGCGAATGGTAGCAGCTATTGCAGTCCTCACCAAGGACGCGGGTAAACTGACTCTGGGCCAGCCATTGACTATCCTGGTGCCCCATGAGGTGGAGGCCTTGGTCAATCAGCCTCCAGACTGCTGGCTCTCTAATGCCCGCATGACCCATTACCAAGCCATGCTCCTGGATACGGACCGGGTGCACTTCGAACCTGTGGTAGCTCTTAATCCCACGACCTTGCTCCCCCTGCCGGAGGAAGCAGAACACCATGACTGCCTCCAGATCCTTGTGGAAATACACAGGACCAGGCCGGACCTGACGGATCAACCCCTCCGAGATGTTGACTATACTTGGTATACGGATGGCAGCAGTTTCCTGGCAAATGGGGAATGAAGAGCAGGGGTGGCAGTGACAACGGAGACTGAGGTAATTTGGGCAGAAACCCTCCCCGCAGGCACCTCCGCCCAGAGGGCTGAACTCATCACTCTGACCCAGGAACTCCAGATGGCAGAAGGCAAGAGGCTAAATGTTTATACAGATAGCCGATATGTCTTTGCCACGGCTCACATACATGGGGGAAATTTATCGTAGACGAGGGCTGCTGATCTCAGAAGGAAAGGAAATTAAAAACAAACTTGAGATACTGGCACTCCTAAAGGCCTTATTTTTGTCCCAAAAATTAAGTATTATGCACTGCCCTGGGCATCAAAAAGGCCATTGCCCTGAGGCAAAGGGAAATAGACTGGCAGATGACACTGCTCGAGAGATTGCTATGAAATCAACCAAGACCTCCCAAGCTTTCCCCTTGACGAACCCAGAAGAGGCCCCAGCCTCCAGTTCGCTACCCTATAGTACAGAGGACATTGATCTCCTAAAGAAAATGGGGGCCACATATGACCCCAAAAAGCAACATATGGGTTTTAAGGAAAAGATTGTTATGCCAACAAAACATACTTATGAAATAATAGACCACTTACATAAATTGACCCATTTGGGGCCAAAGAAGATGAAAACCTTGTTGGACAGACAGGAGTCAGGCCAATACCTCCTGAACAGGGATGGAGCCCTGCAAAAAGTGACTGATGAATGCCAAGCCTGCGCCCAGGTAAATGCAGGCAGAGCCAAGCTTGGTCCAGGAGTTTGGGCACAGGGACATCTTCCCAGAGTACATTGGGAGATCGACTTTATGGAGGTCAAGCCAGGTTTCTATGGGTACAGATACCTCTTGGTGTTCATAGACACTTTTTCAGGATGGGTGGAAGCCTTTCCTACCAAACACGAAACCGCAAAGGTAGTGACCAAAAAGCTCTTGGAAGAAATCTTTCCCAGGTACGGAATGCCTCAAGTCTTAGGCACCGATAATGGGCCCGCCTTCGTCTCCCAGGTAAGTCAGTTGGTGGCCAAACTCCTAGGGGTCGAATGGAAATTACATTGTGCGTATAGACCCCAAAGTTGAGGGCAGGTAGAACGCATGAATAGAACAATTAAGGAGACCTTATCCAAATTAACGCTTGCAACTGGCACTAGAGACTGGGTGCTCCTCTTACCACTGGCCCTGTACAGGGCCCGCAACACTCCGGGGCCTCATGGACTGACACCTTTTGAAATCCTATATGGAGCTCCTCCCCCATTTATAAATTTCTTTGATTCAAACATTGCCGATTTTGCTGACAGTCTCTGGAAGCCCATTTACAGGTGTTACAGATTGTGCAAAGAGAGGTTTGGAAGCCACTCGCCACTGCTTACTGAGACCAACTGAACCAGCCGGTGGTACCGCATCCCTTCCAGATAGGAGATATTGTTTGGGTCCGCAGACACCAGACCAAAAACTTGGAACCTCGGTGGAAAGACCCTTACACTATCCTTCTGACCACCCCAACGACACTGAAGGTTGAAGGCATCGCAGCCTGGATCCATGCCTCACACGTTAAGGCCGCCCATACAGCTGAGAAAGCAGAGCCTGTGGCAACCATAGCATGGAGAATCCAACGCACTCAAAACCCCTTAAAGATAAGGGTTACCCGTGGGGCCCTTTGACCATTATATGGGCCCTACTAAGACTGGGGATGGCGACACAAGGAAATAGCCTGCATCAGGTTTTCAATGTAACCTGGAGGGTTACAAATCTCATGATAGGAAAAGTAGCCAATACCACCTCCCTGTTGGGAACAATGACGGACGCTTTCCCAACCCTGTACTTTGACCTTAGTGATTTGGTGGGAGAGTCTTGGAACCCCTCAGATCAGGAACCATTCCTGGGATATGGCTGCCATCACCCAGGGGGGCGGCATAGGACCAGGAACAAAGACTTCTATGTTTGTCCAGGACAAAACACACAAAAGGGGTGTGGAGGGCCGGGGGACGGTTACTGTGCCCAATGGTGTTGCGAAACGACGGGGGAGGCTTACTGGAAACCCTCCTCCACCTGGGATCTAATCATGCTCAGATGAGGAACCACGCCTGGGTACTTGGGAAGGGGGCCATGGACTTGCGGGGGAAAAGCTTGTGACCCCTGCTATGATACTGCTACCAATGTCCAGGGCGCCACCCCAGGAGGTAGATGCAACCCCTTAGTCCTAGATTTCACTATGCAAGGGAAAAAAGCCTCTTGGGACGGACCCAAATCATGGGGATTGCACCTATACCGTTCTGGATATGATCCTGTCATTATGTTTTCATTAACCCGACAGGTGATGAATGCAGGCCCTCAGCTATCAATAGGGCCAAATCCAGTCCAACCAGAACAAAAATCCCCTTCTCAGCCAGCACAAGCCTTACCCCCAGCAGCATCTCATAATACCTCAATGACCCCCTTAGCCAGCAATAGTACCCCTAGCACACCTACCACTACTACCATTACTCTGTCTCCCGTCAACCTGGAACAAGGCATAGACTACTCAACTTGGTACAAGGAGCCTATCTGGCTCTCAATTTCACAGATCCGAACAAGACCCAAGATTGCTGGCTATGACTGGTTTCAAGACCCCCTTACTATGAAGGTGTAGCCGTTCTAGGTAACTACACCAACCAAACCTCTGCACCCACCAGCTGCACTTCCATCCCCCAGCATAAGCTGACCCTGTCTGAAGTATCTGGACAGGGACTTTGCATAGGGACTATTCCCAAAACCCACCAGGCCTTATGTAACTCAACCCAAAAGGTGTCCAGAGGAACCTATTACCTAGCTGCCTCCAACGGGACCTATTGGGCATGCAGTACTGGATTAACCCCATGCGTTTCAGCTGCTGTGCTCAGTGAAACCTCTGATTACTGCGTTCTAATTGAATTATGGCCCAAAGTTACATACCATGATCCTGAATACATCTATAGTCATTTTGAAGGGAGACCCCGATTTAGGAGAAAACTAGCCTCCCTAACTTTGGCCTTATTGCTGGGAGGCATCGCTATGGGGGGAATAGTGGCGGGGGTGGGCGC